TCGGCCGAACATGCTGAGCATGTTCGGCCGACCCGAAGCCACGCGAAGCAAGCTGATGTACGGCTGAAATCAGCCGTACCAGCCTGAAGTGAATAGCCGAACAGTGTTTGGCTCACTTCACTTCAGCTCGGTCATTCACTCGGCTGCCCTCGGCAGCTTAGTAAATAGACCCATTAGAGAGCCAGTGACACATTAGGGATGTGTTAAAAAGAGTCACATGAAAGGTGGATTGTGGCTCCGTTAAGGAAAATCCTAACATACTATGGGCATGGTTCTCACTTGGGCGTATTTCAGCGTGTCGGAACGTTCTGAAAAACGCCCTATGCCCAAAGAAGTACAGGAGCTTCTTTGGGGCGTATTTCCGCGCGTATCCATTAGGATACAGCTGGATAGACCTCATAAATGCGCGTTTGAAACGCGTTTTGTGGGCTGCAAATCGCGGTTAAAACATGCACCATCATACACGCATATTCTGGTGAAATTTTTGACTGACTGGTGAGACACTATCAAATTTTTCAAGCCCTGTATAATATATATATATATATATATATATATAATACACATACACACACACACAGACACACACATTGGACATGTTTAATGAAAATATGCCCTTTTCTGCTTCCACCTTTTATTATTTTTTTTTTGTTAACAGAAAAAGAAATCATGACAGATTTCAGATTCAGGCACTGCCACATTTGAAACTACTCCTGAAAAGTATTGCTAGAAGGCAGCACAAACCAACAAAGGAATCAGTTCCAGAAGACACAGTGGACAACTGTCCAACTTCCAGCAATTAGTAGAAATGAGGAACACCAATAGAAAATATGCTAAAAGCTTCAGTCTTGGTCTATAATTTGGCTCTCTACTATTCTTTACTCTGATTCTATTTTAAACATTGAGATTTTCTGAAGCACAAAGAACAGAAGAGATATTTTGCAGTGGTCAGTAATGTAATAAATTTTTAAAAAGCTTGTTCCAGATATCCAGATATCATCTTGGCATATATTCTTCTGGTAAGCCTGTAAAGTTCCTGGATGTAAGGGCTTTGTCCACCGTCCTGATAAATCCATCAATTAAATCCTTCATCTCTCTTGTGAAAGGATCCAAGACTGTCTGTCTGGAGCCTAGCCGTTTAAAGTTCCCATCCTTGTTGTTCTCCACACAAAGGAAACGATTCTCACTTATTGGAAGGTTGAGAAAAGCCACAATTTCCCTTAACTTTCCATTAAGGTTCTTCTTTAAGTCTTCATAGTGGACCACCAACAGTTTCTTTCCATACTGAAGCCAATCCAATGCATGTGAGGCCCACCAGGATGCATAGCTGTTAACAAATTCTGGCCATTCTAGAGAAAGAGATAAAAGTCATTAAAGTAACATTTCCCTTTACCGTTTCACTATTAATTAGTAATAATTAACTATTCTGCAAATAAACACATCACCTGTCACCTGTCAAACAAGTCACTTGTGCATATTTAGTGAACGAAAACTCTGACCCAGCTATTTCATCTAGGAAAGCTGCCTTATTTCTTCTCGCTTAGTAGACAGAAGATAAATCCAGGCTGTCAAGTACAGCCCACAAGTCGTTTAAAATGCTAAAATTCACCCATTAAGCTGTTTAGAGAAAATGTTCTTTAAAAATATCTATTTTTTATTGTGTTTGTGTGTGGGAGGGATAGTTTTGTTTATTTTATTTTATGTATTGTGCCTTTTTCATATATTTGATAATTATTTGTGTACTGTCCCTTTCAAATTTGTAACCTACACTTTTTTAAAGTACTGCTAACAAAATAAGAATACATAGGCTATTAAGGGGCCCTTGGAACACGAATGGGTCCAGTAAATGTTACATAGTTACAAAAAAGGAGGTAGAAAAAAGTATATATGCCTCTCGGCGCAAAGGTTGACATTAGCACAATCTACCTGCTGCTCAGTAATCACACTTTACACTATCTTGAGGGGCTGCTCATTCTGAAGGCTCTGGGGTTCCATCAATTGCATGAGAAACAGAAAAGACAGAGCACCACCTCCATGTGTAAAATCATTTAATAGACCATTAAAATTAAAAGTATATGTACTCTATTCTATTAAATGATTTTAAACATGGAGGTGGCGCTCTGTCTTTTCTGTTTTACATAAAAAGTAAGGTTAAATAAAGACACAGGTCCATACAGTTCAAGTGTGTGTGTGTATAAACTGGCCTCTTAGTACTGTAGTTATGATATCCTTGTACATGTAGTAAACTAAGAAACTCACCTAAAAGTTTCTAGAATTTCTAGAATTTATCAATGCTATTAGAGGATTCCACTGACTGTGGAAGGGAATTCCACATTTTACTACTCTCACAGTGAAAAACCCCGTACGCAGTCTAAGATTAAACCTCCTCTCTTCTAACCTCTTGTTGTGCCCTTGTGTCATCAATACAGTTCTTGGGGTAAATATCTTATTCCAAATATTGTGGTCCCCAATAATGATTTTGAAAGTTGCAATTAGGTCCCCTCTTAAGAGCCTCTTTTCTAAGGAGAACAAGTTTAATTTCTGGAGGCACTCTTCATAACTCAGGCCTTCCATCCTCTTTATTAACATTGTAGCCCTTCTCTGGACTCTCTCAATTTCATGGACGTCTTTCCTGAGGGTTGGTGACCAAAACTGAAGTGCTTACCCAAGGTGAGGCTGATCTAGTGATTTATAAAGTGTTGAAACTATGTTTTTATCCCTCTCTAAAATCCCTCTTTTAATGCAGGATAGTATCTTGCTTACTTTGCTGGCTGCTGCTTGGCATTGCATACTATTGCTGGATCTAGAATCTATGAGGACCCCCTCCAGGGGGAAAGGCGCTTCTTCTGAGGGGCCTTTTTAGAGGCCACTGCACTTTGAAAACCACCATATTTTTGCCTTTACCATTTATTTAATGCAGATGATGACTTACTGTAGATTCAGATTTTTTTAATAAAAAAAATGAAATAAATAAAAAATGTAATTGAATGTCAGTAATATGGGTATATGTATGCAGTATATGTATGTGTGTTTATAATACACACACACACTATATATATATATATATATTAGTTTTGTTCTATTGAAAGCCTAAACAAACATCAAGATTCTTTAAGCATTCGGTGTCCTGTTGTTAATTAAGATGTGATTCATCTATAGCTGTAAGTCATGCTAATGCATCAAACTGTGACATTTAAATAATTATAAATACAAGTAATTTACATTTGTTGGATATGCAAATGGAAAATTGAAAACATGATTTTAGTTCTGCATGCCTGTTGGATATCCTGTTTATTTCTTGTGCTTTTTATTCTTTTCTACCTTTACTTTCTGTTTTAGCTCAAGCTGTGCTCTTGTTTTCTTTGCCTTAGGAAATACAGCTAATTTTCTTTTTTTTTTTGTCACTACAATTCTTTAGCTAATGTTTATTTATAGAAACCTGTATCAGGGTTCCGAATATCAGCCCTCAACTGCTACCATGTTCTTCACAGCAAATGCATTTGTGGATGGTCTAGAGCAGGGGTGCCCATAAGGTCGATCGCGATCTACCAGTGATCGCGATGTCTTCTCCTCCCACCGGTGGGGCTTCTCTGGATACCCGCTGCTCTCCCCATCTGTATGCAGCGGGAATCCGAGAAGAAGTGAAGGAAACGGCGGCGGGGGAGGGCGGAGGACGCCGAGCGGTGAGGAGAGAGAGATGCTCGGTCTGGATCTGACAGCCGGCACCTCTCTCTCCCCTCACCGCTTGGCCTTAGTTCTGTGACAGCGGCTCCGCCCCCCCCCATGGCTGAAGTGCTTTGTGTCGGATCCCCTGCTGCCTCTACCCGGGAGAGCAGGGGGGATCCATGGGAGAAGCTGAGCCCCCCTGTGCATGATATGTCTCGGTCCTCTGTGCAGGACAAACACAGGAGCGATTTGCTGATCACTCAAGTGTTTGTAAATAACTGGGGACACATAGTACTATGTGTCCCCAGTTATAAATGAACAGGATGTGATCTACATCACTTCCTGTTCATTCATGAGTTTCTCAATGGGGAGAAGCACTCACTACAGAGGCTCCTCCCCATTCAGAAAGTGCTTGATAGTAAAATATTTTCTTAATGAGTGCTCCCACGGTGCTCGTGTGGCTGCCTGCTGAATGTGTTAGACGCCGCAGATGGAAAGGGGCAGGACACCTCTCCCCATGTGCAACGTTGGAACACGTGCACCACGGGAGGATAAGATGCCGGGGCCTCTAGGATGCACTGGAATGTAAGCCGGCCGACTCTTTGCCTTCAGGGGTGGGAGGGGGTGTGGGGTTGTATTGAAGTCAATGGCACCGCAGGCATGCCCCCCGCCCACAGTGCGATTGCTCGCACCCAGAACGCAGGCACATTAGTGCCATTGACTTCAATGCTAAGCCACGCCCCCTCCCGCCCCTGAATGCAGGTGTTTTTTCGTTGGTAGATCTCATTGAGCTCGTCATTTGAAAAGTAGATCTCCAGACGAAAAATTGTGGGCGCCCCTAGTCTAGAGTGTGCTTACTACAGGGTAAGAAGTCAGTTCTCACCATGTGCTGTCTTTCATGGTAAAGCTCTATCACTAATAACAACAACAGACTTACACTAAATCATGTAGCGCATGTTAATAAACAACTCACGTGCACTACTATGTTAGCTGGTAATGTGGCCACGCTACAGTGCACCACAGCATGTGGTGAGCTGCACTGAAAAAATGTCATGTCCATTATTTTCAGGTACAATGACAGCCCATTCAAAATTAAAGAGGAACTCCACTTATTTTAAAAATAAACTCTTGCAGTGGTACTACCCCCACACTGCAAGGGCTAACTGCTCATTTTGGTCTAGGAGCCAGCATTCAAAAGATATACTCATCTGATCCTGATCTCATCTGTCCTGCAGGAATGATCGCTCACCTCTCTCCCTTCCATTCTGTATGTCCCTTAGCGTCCTCACATCTAATGCAAATACATGGACCTGCATTAGACAGGATGTTGTCAGAGCCAGCGGGGACCAGTGTAGGGGGGATAGCCGCACTGCAAGGGTTAATTTTTTAAATTCCCGAAGTTCAGATTTAACTTAGCATGCCATAATAAATTGTAAAATGTTATGTTAACACAATGCACAGTCTGAATGGACCCCCAAAGACCCAGATTAAAAGTACAATGGATAAGCCCTCTAAGTGATAGCATAGTGCAGATGACAGGTTCCCTTTGAGGAGACATCAGGGGTCTATCTGTTGAAGCTGATTGAGCACAGATTGTTATCAATCGGTTATTCCCCCAACCATGGTTTGACATCTCTGAGCCTGGAAATGCTCAGAGCTGAGCGCTTCCAGGTTTATACTGCCCAGAGAAGATAAGCCAATGAATGTTTGATCTACCGCTGCTCTCCATCCTGACACCTGTCCTGGAGATTCTGGGAACAGGGGAGCACATGTAGAAGTTGTCCTGGACGGTCTGCATGCAAATGCAGCCTGCCTTATAATGGTCATTCCTCCAGATTGTCATCCACCTATCAAGGCATTTTGAGATTTGCATAACTCCTCCCAAAAGCCGGCTCACTGCTTTCCACATGACTTAGGGCTCTTACAAAAAGTATGAAGGGTGGTAGTGTGCTGTGATGTTTTCAGGAAACTATGTACAGCACCCTGTTGGCCCCTCCCACCAGCCATGACCTATCTGCACTGCATAGATCCAACAATGAAATCACTGGGTCTAAAACAAGGTATGGGATGGAAAATGAATAGGTTTAATTTATCAATTTCAATAGCATGCTGATGGGGGTGGAGGTAAAGGGAAGAGAAATATATAAATATACAATCTTAGGCTTTAAGCATCACCTCAAGAGCCAATTTATGAGTGCCAATATTACATGAATTCTTTTAATGGTCAAGTTAACAGGCAAAAGTATCAAAGTATTTCAATCAAATACATCTTATATTTAAAGCAATTTTAATTGCTGGTGATTCAGGGAACCTTGACTTGTGTATTTTCATATAGGCATGATGAGTACAGTTTGGTTTGTTGTAGCCATGAAATTCAACTGTGTCAATAATTATTAGGTATAGAACCAGGTACATCACAAATCCGAATTTTAAACGAAACGAAACAAATTTTTTGGCAGTGCACATGTCTACAGCTAACCTACCTGCCTTTAGCATTTCTATATCTTAGGCATATACCTTTATTATTACATCAGCTGACAGCCTATTATGAAGCTTATATTTTCTGGTAAACTTGTTCTGTTTGTAATATATATACAGTATATCTCGTCGTATAAGACGAGTATAGCCCAAAATAATGTTTAAATGCACCCACTAACATCCATGGCGGTATTCCCGAGTGTGG